TATATATATATAATAAATAAATAAAAAATGCGCATATATACAACTACTTAGCAATAACAACTTCAATTTGAACGAAGGAACACAAGGAAGTAATACAAAATAGATTCTCATTAAGTTTGACAGTCGCTTGGGTATTGACAAAATAAGAGCATTCAAAGCTCTAGTACACATAGATCAAGAAGGTTCAAAAAGTAAAACATTACACCCAACCCCACAAAACAAAAAGTCAACTTTTCCACCTAAGGCTTCTACAAAATGGCCAAGAGGAGGGAACCTGACCCATCTCACATACCAGAAACTATGTTGTCATCACCATTGCCATACTAGGTCTCCTCGTCATCCTGGAAGGTTGTGTCGGGATCTTCTCGGCTACCCGAACGAGCATGGGCAACATCATCTAGCTGAGCATCCTCTAGCATCTCAGTAAAATCCATATAAGTGCCCTTGTAGAAATCCTTAGTCAACTCGAAGGTGAAATCAGAAGGCACATGACAGAAATAGGTAGCTTGTCAGACAACATGCATGAAACCTGCCTCATGCTCTTGTACGATCTGATTTTCACACTCCTCGCTGTTAACTCCAAATTTTGTCTTCTTGTATAATTCAAAAAAATAATAATACATATGCTAAATCAAACAAAAAATGAACAAAAACAAAAAAGGAAAACAAAATCTTCCTCTACCTTCTTCGAATACCATCTACTGACCCCCAACTACTCTGCTACAATTGTTACAGAGTCACCTTACCACTGCAAACAAGCCACCATGCCTTGCAAACAAGCCACCATGCCCTGCAAAAAATCTCCAAAATTGCCTCTTAACCAGATTCACAAGCCATATCCCTGAATTCAGGGATTTTGGTAGAGAAAGATATCAGATTAAAAGAATCATACATCTATAAATAACACAACATAAAAGGAACGGTGGTTGGGAGAAAAGTTAAAAAAAAAAATCACCAAATGACTAACTAATAAGAGCAAGCGTGCGTGGAAGACAAAGGAATCCTGGCAAAGCGGAGAGGAAGATAAAAGGGCACCACAACTTTAGGTATCAATATTTTGTGTAGTTTGATCTCTTTGATGTTTTGAATCCTGAAATGATGATAGGTATGTAAGTAAATGGGTTTTCTATCTTCCGAACAATGAAAACCTAACCCTAATAGGAAAAGAAGTGATAATGAAATGAAAAGGCAAGTGAGTATTACCAGGGAACACGAGTGAATAAAACCACAAGGGCTGCCGTGTGCCACCGCGCGCCGTTGCTGGAGGCGATATATGCTTTCATCTTCTTCCTTAAGCTCTTGTCGTGCGCGGACGTGACAAACCCAAAGCATGAACTCTACCGCGCGTCGCCGTCGGAGACGACTTTCGATGGTGGACCTTCTTCTTGTTCGCGATCCGCTCCTCCATCACCATCTTCCTTCGCTTTCCACGGTGCCAATAGTCGACCCCACTCCGGTGCCGTTGTACCGTGTTAATCCTGTGCGGTTGAGGTTGGTCTAAGGAAGTCGCATATGGCTTGCGTAACCTCACTCATGTTTTTCTTTCTTACTTTTCTCTTGCATAAAACGTGGCTTAATACCATCATTTTCCTTATTCCTTTCCTTTTTCTTTTTCCTTTTTTCTTCGTTTTGGGCTCAACGTGGTGAGACCACCGCTTTCTTTCTTCCTGGTACCTATGTGGGCTAAGCCCCTTAAGAACCAAATATCCCTAAAATTATCTAATTAAATTTCTTATCTTCCTTTTTGCCAAGATTGTTTCATAACAGACATGACTAGCAAATGTTATTTTATTTGTTTTTATTTTACAACAAAGGATTAGATAACCAATTAAATAATTTATTTGCATACGTATATTAGGTCCTCGAGTCATTTTAATTAGGTAAGGTATTGATAATAGTGGTTATTATTATTATTATATCAATATTAATAATATTTCTTTTTTAAAATAAAAAAAAGAGACAAAAAAAGATTATTTAAATGGGTCATTTCATTAATCTTAGGTGATAGTTTTTATTTCTTGTTTTAACAAAAAATAATTTAATTGATTTTATTTAATAATAATAATAATAATAATAGTGATAATATTATGAGGCGTTTCCTTAATCTTAGAGGATAACATTTATTTATTGTTTAACAAAATTAGCTTAATTGATTTTATTTGATTAAGTTGTTTCTTAATATAAATGTGTTGGATGTTCATGTAATTTTAATTCATTTAAAAAAAAAGATTATTGGAACGCCACATTCTCTTAATTCTAGGACCTAAAGGTGCAAATTATGACAATTTATTGTCTTAAAGTTCTTCTTATTTAAATTTAAAATATAATTAAATATAAAAAATATATATTATCACAATTTTTTAATATAAATATTTGAGGTCATTATATCAAAGATTTTATTGGAAAAATAATTGATTAGATGTGATATTTTTTTTAACTTTTAAATTTAAGATACAAGTTGTGACAACTTGATATCTTTAATTTTTTTCCAAAATATAAAAAATATCTAACCAAAATATTTTAAAAATGCACCATAATAATAATAATATTGACAATAATAACGATATTTAAAAATAATTAAATATCTGGCTTTGGTGTACACCTCTGTCAGTTTTTATATTTTAGGATATATGAGTTGTGATAGTTCAAAAATCCTAACCTTTTATAAGAAAAATAATAAATAAATCAATAAAAAAATTCCAACACACAAATATTGTCTATCAAAGAACTATGTGACTCTAATTCTTCATTATACGTGGAGAAACGTAGGAGCAAGGAATCACTCCTATCGAGCCAAAAAATAAAAATAACAATATTATCTCATTTTTACATAATAATAAATAATTGTAGTATTCATTAAAATAAAATAAAAACATTTGTTAAAAAAATATTTGATTATTATCGGTAATTCATATTAATGTGGGGTGAGATAAATATTTTAAAAGTTATGATAAATTTGTTTAATTAATTAGAGGTAAATCGTCTTAGGACGAACATTTTAAGGTGTTAATACCTTCCTTGCACGTAATGGACTTCCGAACTCAAGAATTTGATTTTCGTAGACCATTTTCTATTTCATGGTTTTTTCAATTTTTTTTTCTTAAAATAAATATTGGTGGCGACTTCACATATTTAATTTATTTTTGTCATCCCGTGGCTACTTAGGTTGCTACACTTGCAAGATCCCTCAATGCTGCAATAACTTCTTCTTTGGCTTTGGCCTTATGACCCAAGGGCTCCTTCACCTCCTCGACCCTCATCCTCTTATCCTCTTTGGCGGCCACCACCTGTCCCTCCATGTCGGCCATAGCCTCCCTAAGCTTAGCAACCTTAGACTCAAGTCGAAGCTTTTCAGCTGAAGTCACGACATGAGCTTCGACGGAGTGTTGCAATGAACATCGGGTCTTATCCAAAGAGCTCTTCAAATTCCTTGCTTTAGATATTGGCTCCAAAGCTAACTTTCGGAGGATTGCCAATGCGCGCACTTGTAGTTCACAAGCCATGGCCCACTGAGTCGAGGGACTAGCAGAGTTAAGCATCCAATGACCCCCGTCAGACAACAAATCAGGAGCCATCACCCGAGAAGGTCGAACTTCTTGTGCCAAGAAGTGTCGAGCAATAAAGGCTGAAGGAATGGCAAGGTCCAAATGGGATCCTTCGGTTCATCGAATTTTGTGCAGCCTCAAACCATCATCACTCGGCCAGGAGGAATCATTGCCTTTTCTTTTCCATCGTCTTAGGACGAACATTTTAAGGTGTTAATACCTTCCTTGCACGTAATGGACTTCCGAACTCAAGAATTTGATTTTCGTAGACCATTTTCTATTTCATGGTTTTTTCAATTTTTTTTTCTTAAAATAAATATTGGTGGCGACTTCACATATTTAATTTATTTTTGTCATCCCGTGGCTACTTAGGTTGCTACACTTGCAAGATCCCTCAATGCTGCAATAACTTCTTCTTTGGCTTTGGCCTTATGACCCAAGGGCTCCTTCACCTCCTCGACCCTCATCCTCTTATCCTCTTTGGCGGCCACCACCTGTCCCTCCATGTCGGCCATAGCCTCCCTAAGCTTAGCAACCTTAGACTCAAGTCGAAGCTTTTCAGCTGAAGTCACGACATGAGCTTCGACGGAGTGTTGCAATGAACATCGGGTCTTATCCAAAGAGCTCTTCAAATTCCTTGCTTTAGATATTGGCTCCAAAGCTAACTTTCGGAGGATTGCCAATGCGCGCACTTGTAGTTCACAAGCCATGGCCCACTGAGTCGAGGGACTAGCAGAGTTAAGCATCCAATGACCCCCGTCAGACAACAAATCAGGAGCCATCACCCGAGAAGGTCGAACTTCTTGTGCCAAGAAGTGTCGAGCAATAAAGGCTGAAGGAATGGCAAGGTCCAAATGGGATCCTTCGGTTCATCGAATTTTGTGCAGCCTCAAACCATCATCACTCGGCCAGGAGGAATCATTGCCTTTTCTTTTCCCTTTGTTTTTTTCCTCTTGGCTGAGCCTCGAGTATGGGGATATCTCGAGGAGGGGAGCGCGCTTCAGCAACCACTGTGGCCCTTTCTGTGGCCACACCTTGATGGTCCTCCACAAGTGCATTGGCTGGGGCACGATTCCTAATAACCTGCCTATATGAAAGCCCTAACCCTTATGCGCCATAAAGCCTGTAAAACAACAATAACAATTAGGATAACATGTAGACATAAGTAGCAGAAAGTTAGCACGTACCATTTAAATCATAACGTGGTCGGGCAGACTTGGGTAATAAAACTAGAAATCTGGCCGATATCTCTTAGGGCAATGTGTTCAACATCGCTAGGGCCGTGGTCTCAAAAGGACTAAGCATATCTGTCAAGTATTCATCATATTTGTGGGGCACCTATGTCCAATAAAAGGGGAACAGGAGGGTTCCCTCCCGATCATAAAAGTAGTTCCTTCTAGCTATCAGGTCAATCATCACCTTCAAGAAGCCATATGTGAATCCTTTAAATGAAGACATAAATGGCTTGAATAAAGGCTGATCTACATGCCGTATGAGAGACACCCATTTCACAGTCTTGGTGGAAGGGTGGGTACAAAAAAAGTACAAAAATAGTTCAATGGTTGGCTCAATGTAGTGATGTTTACAAAAGACTAGGAATGCTTGCATTATCGCCCATCCATTCGGATGAAGCTGAGTTGGCGCCAAGTTTAAAAATTGGAGTACACCCATATGGAAGTCGTCAAAAGGAAGAGACACACCAAGATCCCTAAATACACACTCATACATATAAAAAAATCACCTTGGCCTCCTTTCTTTGCGAGGAAGACCCTATCGACCTCACCAGGGCCTTCGGCCCTACAACGACGAAGCATTATTGAGTAAGGGTCTGTATCCTCCCAACGAGTCAATCAACACCTCTTGAGTAAGCATTCAACGACAACCCTCTCATAAAAAATGGAGCAATAGGTCGTTCATATCCCGGAACATCATAGGGTGGGAACTTTTTCTTGTAAACTTGCAGATCCATCTAGGCATCAAGAAGCCCCAACCTAGAGGAGTCACCAATGCTCTCCGTAGCATTACTCATTGTGAGCCGCTTCAATGAACTCACAAATGCTTCAACTTCCCCATCATTGGCCGAACTCCTAGTACCGGATGAAGACCTCGTAGATAAGCCCAATTCCTCGACTATAGCCATATGTACCCCAAAAGACCTAACCACGCTACGCACACAGACGTACCTTAACAAAAGAAGAAGAGCGCAACGAGATGAAGATGATATCTCGGTATAGAGAACACGCGCGAAGAAAGGCAATTAAACCCCCAATATATATAGATACCCAAGAGGCAAAGAAAAGAGACTTATATGAATAAAATAAAGGCACAAATTCCCAAGGTTATGCAACTTCATGATAGCGGTGCAATTAATTGATAGACCATGGGCCAAGGGCCCAGTCACTAGAGC